TGTTGGATTGAGGAATTAGTGATAGGGGTAGAAATCAAATTAAGAATTGACTGATGAGGAAATAAGATAAGTGCCTCCTTAGTGGCAGTGTATGCATTTTCATTTAAAGTAATACAAATATGGCTGGGAACCCACCAAAATTCATTGTTGGATTTTTCGCGGTCAAATTTCCCTAGATCACCTGTCCCTCACGGTCACCTGTCCTCCGTGGGCACCTGCCCCTCCAGGGTCACCTGTCCCCCACGATCACCTGTCCTCCGTGGTCACCTGTCCACCGTGGTCACCTGTCCCTCGTGGTCACCTGTCCCTCAAGGTCACCTGTCCCCCACGGTTACCTGTCCCCCGTGATCACCTGTCCCCCGTGGTCACCTGTCCCTCCCCCGTGGTCACCTGTCCCTCCCACGTGGTCACCTGTCCCCCGTGGTCACCTGTCTCCCGTGGTCACCTGTCCCCCACGGTCACCTGTCCCCTGTGGTCACCTGTCCCCCGTGGTCACCTGTCCCCCTTAGTCACCTGTCCCTCACGGTCACCTGTCCCCCACGGTCACCTATCCCCCCACGGTCACTGGTCCCTCGTGGTCACCGGTCCCCCGTGGTCACCAGTCCCCCGTGGTCACCTGTCCCTGGCGGACACCTGTCCCTCGTGGTCCCCTTTCCCCAGTGGTCACCTGTCCCCCACAGTCACCTGTCCCCCACGGTCACCTATCCCCGTGATCATCTGTCCCCCGTGGTCACCAGTCCCTCCTGGTCACCTGTCCCCCGTGGTCACCGGTCCCTCGTGGTCACCTGTCCCCCGTGGTCACCTGTCCCTCACGGTCACCTGTCCCCCACGGTCACCTGTCCCCCGTGGTCACCTGTCCCCCGTGGTCACCTGTCACTAACGGTCATCTGTCCCCCACGGTATCCTCTCCGTGGTCACCTGTCCCCCACGGTCACCTGTCCCCTACGGTCACCTGTTCCCCCATGGTCACCTGTCCCTCGTGGTCACCTGTCTTCCATGTTCACTATCCCCCCATGGTCCCCTGTCCCTCGTGTGTCACCTGTCCCTCGTGATCACCTGCCCCCCGTGGTCACCTGTCTCTCGTGGTCACTTGTCCCCCATGGTCACTATACCCCATGGTCACCTGTCCCCTGTGGTCACTGTCCCTCACGTTCACCTGTCCCCCGTGGTCACCTGTCCCTCATGGTCACCTGTCCCCCCGTGGTCACTGTCCCCCTACGGTCACCTGTCCCCTGTGGTCACCTGTCCTCCGTGGTAACTGTCCCCCGTGGTCACCTGTCCTCCGTGGTCACCTGTCCCCCGTGATAACTGTCCCCTGTGGTCACTGTCCTCTGTGGTCATCTGTCCCCCGTGGTAACTGTCCCCTGGGGTCACTGTCCCCCGTGGTAACTGTCTACCATGGTCACCTGTCCCTCGTGGTCACTGTCCCCCGTGGTCACTGTCCCCCGTGGTCACCTGTTCCTTCGTGGTCACCTGTCCCTCGTGGTCTCCTGTCCCCTGTGGTCACTCTCCCCCATGGTCACCTGTCCCTCATGGTCACCTGTCCCCCATGGTCACCTGTCCCCCGTGGTCACTGTCCCCCATGGTCACCTGTCCTTCGTGCTCACCTGTCCCCCATGGTCACCTGTCCCCCGTCGTCACTGTCCCCCATGGTCACCTGTCCCCCGTGGTCACCTGTCCCCCATGGTCACCTGTCTCCCATGGTCACCTGTCCCCCCTGGTCACCTGTCCCCTGTGGTCACCTGTCCCCTGTGGTCACTGTCCCTCATGGTCACCTGTCTCCCGTGGTCACCTGTCTCCCATGGTCACCTGTCCCCCATGGTCACCTGTCTCCCGTGGTCACCTGTCCCCCGTGGTCACCTGTTATGAACCAAAATTCCTCGCCCAAGCACGGAGCCGTGAAGTCCACGCCATCTGTGAGTCCGCTCCCGAAAATCCCGCAACATGGACAACGCCATCTAGTGATGACGGGAGATGCCGGCAATAAGTGTTGGATGCCTGTCCTAGTCGGCTCGTGATGTAGCCGCTGCTGACCTCTGGTGAGGTGGCGCTTAGACAGTGAATGCCATCTATGGAGCAAAGAGGTGGATGTTTGGGTCTAAGCTAGTAAGTGATGTTTCCTAGTGGTCCCATGTAGTGTCCCCTGTACTGATGACTTGTCTACTTTCAGAGTCAACCTAGGACGGTTGTGAGGTACGTTGAATCAGTTTACCCAAGGCAGCCTAGGTCTCTTCACCAGTCTGCTTTGTAGAAGCTGTGAGCCACCCCCGGACGAACTCTGCTGAGTGTGTAATTGCCTGCCTGAGGAGTGGCAGTAACGGGATTCGCCGTATCCGGGGTTGGCTGGTGGAAGAGACCACCCACTGAGGTGCCGACCGAGGAGAGTATCCAACAAGTCACACGAGGCTCCTGACTAGAGCTCGCAACCCTAGTATTAGTTGTGGAGTGGCCTGACAGCGAGGCTGACTAGTACCTGCCAGCTACAGGCTGGACTGTGGTTGTAGGCCATCACAATGAGGCACCCAGTGGTACTGTGATTTGGCTGGCCTGTGGCCAGGGTGGATTCATCGTGGGTTCTGGGCCATGGAAGAGGAAACCAGGAAAGGTTACCCAGAGTGAGCATCGCCAAGTGTCCAGTGTCTTAGGAGGAAGACGAAGATGTATATACTGTGTAGGAATAATTCCCTTTTGTGACTTTAATTTACACATGGTGGTGGGAAAAAAAAAAATATATATATATATATATATATATATATATATATATTATATATATATATATAATATTTAGTACACTTGTGTATTTAATGTACCTCCCCCGTTGTTTTAACTTGCGTTACGGAGCTCACCCCTTCAAAGCCTCTACTAACTTGGGGCCAGAGACCCAAAAAACCATTACCATCAGAAAAGAACCTGGTTGCGTCCCAGTAGGGTCAGCGAGGCACAGAGTACAAAGGAAAGTGAGGTGGTAGTTGCCACTGAAAAGGAAGATATAGGTAGTGACGGTAAAAGTGATGCAGGTGAACTGAATATCAGTTTTCTAACTGTCAAAATGCGTGCCTTAGAAATAAATCGTGAGATAGAATGGAAAAAAATAGAAATAGAACGGGAAATGAAAGAAAAGGAAATGGAAATGAAACGTTTGGAATTACAAGAAAAGGAGAAGGAAAGAAGAGAAAGAGAAAGAGAAGAGCGAGAAAGAGAATAAAACGAGAAGGAAAGACTACACAAGTTAGAAGTACCGCGATAAGGTGGTCAGAGGAAAACCACGGAAACAAGTAGTTTCGATCCGGTAAGAAATATAAAGATGGTCCCAAAATTCAACAAAAAGGAAGTTTCGAAGTTCTTTGCCGCCTTTGAGAAGGTTGCTGCCTCTTTGGATTGGCCAAAGGAGAATTGGGCCATCATGATACAGTCCGACTTGAGTGGGAAGGCCCAAATTGCCTACTCCACATTGTCCCTTGATGACTCCAGTGATTACGACAAGGTGA